TACTGCTCCTTTATCCCAGCGCCATCTTCCTGCCCCTTCATCCTCTACCCCAGTGCCATCTTCCTGCCCCATCATCCCCTACCCCTGTGCCATCTTCCTGCCCCATCATCCCCTACCCCAGTGCCATCTTTCTGCCCCTTCATCCTCTACCCCAGTGCCAACTTCCTGCACCTTCATCTTCCTAAACTGCCACAAGTGTCATATTACCCTCTATACTACCCCAGTGCCATCTTCCTGCCCCTTCATCTCCTATCCCAGTGCCATCTTCCTGCCCCTTCATCCTCTACCCCAGTGCCATCTTCATGTCCCATCATTTTCCTAAGCTGCCCCTAATGTAATTTTACCCTCTATACTACCCCTGTGCCTTCTTCCTGCCCCTTCATCCTCTAAACTGCTCCCAGCTCCACCTTCCCATCTCTACATCCTCTAAACTGCCCCCTGTACCACCTTTCTGCCCCATTCATCCTCTAAAGTTCTCCAGTGTCATTTTCCTGCCCCTTCATCCTCTAAGGTGCCCCCAGTACCATCTGCATGTCCTTTCATCCTCTAAACTACCCCAGTACCATTTTCCTGCCCCTTCATCCTCTACCCCAATGTCATCTTCCTGCCCCTTCATCTCCTATCCCAGTGCCATCTTCCTGCCCCTTCATCCTCTACCCCAGTGCCATCTTCATGTCCCATCATTTTCCTAAGCTGCCCCTAATGTAATTTTACCCTCTATACTACCCCTGTGCCTTCTTCCTGCCCCTTCATCCTCTATCCCAGTGCCATCTTCCTGCCCCTTCATCCACTAAAATTCTCCAGTGCCATCTTCCTGTCCTTCATCCCCTACCCCAGTGCCATCTACCTACCCCTACATCCCCTACCCTACTTCCATCTTCCTGCCCCTTCATCCCCTACCCCAGTTCCATCTACCTGCCCCTTCATCCCCTAGCCCAATGCCATCTTCCTGTCCCTTCATCCCCTACCCCACTTCCATCTGTCCTTCATCCTCTAAAATTCTCTAGTGCCATTTTCCTGCCCCCTCATCCCCTACCCCACTTCCATCTTCCTGCCCCTCCATCCCCTACCCTAGTGCCATCTACCTGCCCCTTCATCCCCTACCCCACTTCCATCTTCCTGCCCCTTCATCCCCTACCCTAGTGCCATCTACCTGCCCCTTCATCCCCTACCCCACTTCCATCTTCCTGCCCCTTCATCCCCTACCCTAGTGCCATCTACCTGCCCCTTCATCCCCTACCCCACTTCCATCTTCCTGCCCCTTCATCCCTTACCCCAGTGCCATCTTTCTGCCCTTTCATTCCCTACCCAAGTTCCATCTTCCTGCCCCTTCATCCTCTACCCCAATGCCATCTACCTGTCCCTTCATTCTCTACCCCAGTGTCATCTACCTGCCCCCTCATCCCCTACCCCAGTGTCTTCTTCCTGCCCCTTCATCCCCTACCCCAATGTCTTCTTCCTGTCCCTTCATGCCCTACCCTAGTGCCATCTTCCTGCCCCTTCATCCCCTACCTCAGTGTCTTCTTCCTGCCCCTTCATCCTCTACCCCAGTGCCATCTTCCTGCCCCTTTATCCCCTACCCCAGAGCCATCTTCCTGCCCCTTTATCCTCTACCCCAGTGCCATCTTCCTTCCCCTTCATCCTCTACCCCAGTGCTATCTTCCTGCCCCTTCATCCTCTACCCCAGTGCCATCTTCCTGCCCCTTCATCCTCTACCCCAGTGCCAACTTCCTGCCCCTTCATCCTCTACCCCACTGCCATCTTCCTGCCCCTTCATCCTCTACCCCAGTGCCAACTTCCTGCCCCTTCATCCTCTACCCCACTGCCATCTTCCTGCCCCTTCATCCTCTACCCCAGTGCCAACTTCCTGCCCCTTCATCCTCTACCCCAGTGCTATCTTCCTGCCCCTTCATCCTCTACCCCAGTGCCATCTTCCTGCCGCTTCATCCTCTACCCCAGTGGAATCCTTTTACCCCTGACCTCTCTAAACTATCCCAATTCCACATTCACTGTCTACTGCATTGCCATCCTCCTGCTCCTTCATCCTCTAAACTGCCCCATCCTCCTATAATCTGCCCCATGTCATCTTTCTGCCCCTCTTCCACTAATCTGTGCCATGCCATTATTCAGCCAATCTTTTTTTTTTTATATTGCCCTATGTCTTCTTTCTACCCCATACCCACTAATGTGCCCCAGACAAATTCCAAAACCCTTGACCTCTAAACTGCCCCAATATTTCCATTATGACCCTTTTTCCTCTAAACTATCCACCGGCCACCTCCTTTCCCTTCCCCCACCCTCTTGAATTTTAGCTCCCCACTTGTCATCTTCCTTTTGCCACCTTATCTGCTCTGTTGTTCCTCTATTGTCTACTTTTCACCCCCCTCCTCGTCTACCCTTCTCATGTTTAACCCCCCAGTGTAGAAGGCCTGGCTGATGTTGTAAGAAGTCATCACCTGTACACACGTTACATTGTTACATTGTGCTCACACAGGTTCCTGAAGTATCTGCCCTCCCGAAATGGCAACATTCACACTTTGCTACCATGTAGGAGATGTAGACACATGGGACATTGTATCTCTTACGAGGTTCCCTGGTCTTCACAAGGCCATTTGAACATTTCCAATTGGGCATAAGAACTTCAGCAGGTAGGAACATCATAAAGGAAACACCCCCCCCCCCCCCCTTACCCTTCCTCCGGACCCCCAGGGGG